GGATTTTTCTCTGAAATAGCTGAAACACATTTCTCTACTTCAGTGTGTAAATGGCAGTTCCAAGAGAAGAGCTGCTTTTGGAACAGCCCTCACAGACTCGCAGAACGCTAAGGCTCAAGCTCCAAGATCATCTAGTCCAGTGTTCTTTGAACTTTCTTGGACACTCTCCCCCCTCCCCCCCTCAACAAAATCTTTTCTGGAAATCTATGATATAAATCTGATAAAAGTCATGAATTGACACCCTTAGAGAGTTTTAATATTCATTATTTTCTAAATGCCTGAAGCACTGCTTCTCCCCAAAGTTCTTAGATTCTGGTAGGCACAGATGGAAAAAGTAGTCAATAGCAATCAATAGCTCACTTTTATGAGTGGTTGTAATGAGACAGACACTGTGCTGAGCCCTTACCCTGAGTGCCACATTTAATATCCCCTGTAGCCCCATGAGGTAGGCACCATTATGATCATCTCTTCTTTATAGATGAGGCATTGAGCTTGGAGAGGCTTAATGTCCTGCCCAGGTCCCAAAGCTCGTGTTGGAGCTCGTGCTTGTACCTGGGTCTCCTTGGCTAACCAGCCAGTGCCCTTAATTACTAATCTGGTGGCATCTCATTCTCCCATGCCACAGGTCAGTGCCAGCATCTGGACTGGGTAACAGGAATTCTGAATCCAGGTCCAGTGTTCTTGTGCTGTGGTTTTTTTTTTTTTTTAATAAGAGTTTTTTTTTTTTTTTTTTTTTTTTTTTTTTTTTTTTTTTTTTGACAGGCAGAGTGGATAGTGAGAGAGAGAGACAGAGAGAAAGGTCTTCCTTTTGCTGTTGGTTCACCTTCCAATGGCCGCTGCGGCCGGCGCACCACGCTGATCCGATGGCAGGAGCCAGGTACTTAACCTGGTCTCCCATGGGGTGCAGGGCCCAAATTCTTGGGCCATCCTCCACTGCACTCCTGGGCCACAGCAGGGAGCTGGCCTGGAAGAGGGACAACCGGGACAGAATCCGGCGCCCCGACCGGGACTAGAACCTGGTGTGCCGGCACCGCAAGGCGGAGGATTAGCCTAGTGAGCCGCGGCGCCGGCCCTTGTGCTATGCTTTAATGACAACTGTTTTGGAAGTACCAGAGAGAGATTTAATAGTTTAGCTAGTTTCCAGGAACACAGTTTTTTCTCTCTCTCTCTCTCTTATTTTATAAATGTATCTTTTAATTCCACTTTTTTACAAGTTTTTTTTTTTTTAAGGTTTTATTTATTTATTTGAAAGGGTTACAGAGTGGGAGAGGCAGAGGCAGAGAGAAATAGAGACGTCTTCCCTCTGCTAGTTTACTCCCCACATGGCTGCAATGGGCTGGACCAGGCTGAAGCCAGGAGCTAGGAGTCTCATCCAGATCTCCCACATGGAAACAGGGCCATCTTCTGCTTTCCCAGGCCACCAGAGGCTTGAAATATTTTTGAAAAGGGTTTAGCATTTATTTAAGATTTATTTATTTATTTGAAAGGCAAAGTTAGAAATAAAGACAGGGAGAGAGGTCTTCCACCCGCTGGTTCGCTCCCCAGATGGCCACATTGGCTGGAGCTGGGCCATGCTGAAGCCAGGAGCCTGGAGCTTCATCGGAGTCTCCCACGAGGTGGAGATATCCAAGCACTTGGACCACTCTCTGCTGCTTTCCCAGGTACATTAGCAGGGAGCTGGGTGGAAAGTGGAGGAGCCAGGACTCAAACTGGTACCTTTGGGGATATGCCACAACAGTGGCCCCTGAAAAGAATTTATTTTTGCAAGAAAAAGTGAGAGTCTGGGTTAACTTATTTTTCTTGTTATCCTATTTATGATACTTGTTTATTTTAAAGTTATCAAGGTGACCCAACAGTCTAACAGGAAGAAGAAATACTTTTTAAATGATAATGACAGTACACAGAGCATTTCTACTTTGTATAACACAAAATGTTGCCTTTTTGGGACCAGTGATGTGGCACAGCAGGTTAAGTCATTGCCTGTGATGGCAGCATTCCATATGGGTGCTGGATCGTGTCCCTGCTGGTCCACTTCCAGTCCAGCCCACTGATAAAGTGCATGAGAAAGCAGTGGAAGATGGCCCAAGTCCTTGGGCCCTTCCACCTACATGGGAGACCTGGATGGAGTTCCAGGTTCCTATCTTTAGCCTGGCCCAGCCCTGGCCATTTGGGGAATGAACCAGTGGATGAAGATCTCTTTCTCCCTGATTCACCCTCTCTCTGTAATTTTTTCGAACAAAATAAATCTTTTTAAAAAATCAATCTTTATTGTTAATTCTTAAGACTGATTTGGGAGTTATTTAGCACTGTAAAAATCTGAATGTTGTAAAATTTTGTTTGAGCTTATCGAAGCAGCCTTGGTTTGTTTTTGTTTGCCTAGCAAAGGTGATGATCACGTTGGAAGAGTTGTACCAGGTAGTAGAATTCTTGTTCTTCTTAAGGAACTACATTTTTCTTTCAAAGTATCTTTAATAATCTTAAACATATCATTTCTTAGCTGACTGTTAGTGGTGGTACTTGCTGCTTGTTACCCTGGAATGCAGATTCTGAGGGCACTGTTTGCATGTGGGAGTTAGGGTGTGCTGACTCAGCACCTCTGGAGGAGAGTGGGAGCAGGGCTGGACAGAGGTGAGGGTGGGCTGCCATCAAATTTGCCTCAAGACCTGGACTGCCCCTATAGGGAACTCTGGATCTGGGGTGTCCCATCAGCATGTCCAGAGTTGGAGTAGGGGGTCATGTTTTTTTCTTAGACATAGGTATGGGTTGCTCTCAAGAGCAGGTTATAATCTCAGGCAAAACTGCTACCTTCAGTACAGATCAGTTGCTGAGGAGAACAGTCAGCCAGCAGTACTCCCAGTGGCAGGAAGAATACATCTTTCAGCTCTGGAGGGATTAGCAGAACATCTCCGCATCCATTAAGGGTGCTGTTAACTCTTGAAATTCAGTGAAAGGGTAAGGCAATGTGGAAAGATCTTCAGATAATCTCTTGTGATGAATAAAGCCTTAAAGTAGATGCATAGTTGTACAAAAGGTAATCTGTTTTCCCCATGTCTCTGTGTATGTGCGCGCGTGTGTGTGTGTTAAGAAAGTTTGGTACATAACCCTGTAAAAAGAGAACCACTTTACTTATACAATTTACTTGGTTCTTAATGTGATTTATTCTAGTATTAAATTCCAAACCTGGCTAAGTCACAGATCCTTAAAATTGCACACCCAGATATGTGCTTTTTATTATAATTATCTAAGGAAAAGTCTGTGATCATAATGCATAGAGTGTACGTGCATGGTCTGTAGAAGTTTTATAAAACCGGGAGTCAACCCCTTTCTTAGCATAAGGTGATAAATTGGAATATATTAAATGGTTAATGTTTAGTGGATTTTTTTTCATTCTTACTAGCAGAATAATCAGTTTTGTTCATCTTTGTCATAAGTATTGGAGTTATTAACCAACTGGATTTCATTCACACAGCTAGCTCTTACTTAAGGAAATACAGTATCTAAAGTGGCTAAAACCTCATATTTTCTAGACTGATACGTTGTGGCCATAGTAGCAACTAGTTAACCAGTGGTTATTGCCTCATCAAGCCATTATTTTGCCCTGTCAATCTTTTAATCTTCCTAACAGTTGGATTTGGGATAGGTACAAATTCTGGCAGCACTCTTCTATTGACCTTATGGCAAAACAAAGCAGCAAACAAATGGAAATGTTTAATTTCGGGCTGGAATGTAGGGAATCACATTATGTTTTTATTAACAAAATTCTCATTTGCTTAGATGAATTGCTTCCTTCTGTCACTCTCAGATGTATGTTTATACAAACATGGGGTTTGTTGAAGGAGCCTCTCCTTCATGAAGCCATTGCTAATCCTTACCATGATGATGACTTCACATCAATTCCTTCTCCCTGCCATCCAGTTCCTTTGGACCCTTGGAGGTGGCAGCCCTTCTCCCTGGTGGCTGTTTATTACTTGCTGACATCTGCTGACAGTGAACTGCCTCTGCCCTGTGTCCTGCCATTGGGTTTTATTTTCATATCCCCCATTGCACATCTTGGGCACTTGAGTTAAGTGCTTATTGAGTCAACCCATGAGTAATGCAGGATATGATCACTGCCTTCAATGAGACCTGGATTTGGTTCTGAAATAACTACAGAATAAAGCAGAATTCTGTGATATCACCATAGAGAAAAAAAAGAGTTAAATCAAGAGGTTCAGAAAAGAAAGATGTCAGTAGGCAGGTTTAAAGCAGTACTCAGTAGGTATGTACTTCAGCATAATGTTTTTGATCTCAAAGGTTTTGAGATGCTGATATTTTTGCTAAATTATATTGTTCATGTTGTTTTGACTCTGAATTTTAACCCCTTCTACTTTTAATGATAATTTGTTCTCTGAACCATATAAGTGACAGTGATGTGCGCAGGGACAGGAATAGCTCTTTTAGTCTGAGCAAGTGGAATTATATGTGGGAGTGTGTGTTAAGCATACCTAGTTCCCTTTGACATTTTTGGAACCATTTGTTGATTACGTATTCACTTCTGTGTAAGCAGTAATATGCAGTAATTCTGAGTATGTTGGCTTAATGTGCCTGGTTGTGTTTAGTATGTACAGATAATTTGAACATTTTTGCTTCTTAAAAACTTTCATTATACAGTCATTCTGTTTAACGACTTTGAAAAGATTCTTTTTTCCAGAGAAAAGACCCAGACTAGAATTAATTATTTTTTAATCACATTTTTGAGGATAGCAGGTTCTGCTTTGTGATTCTTCCCCCAGTCACATAAGCTAGATTTAGGAGAGGAATCATGAGGGGATCTGTTCAGATAGTTACTTGTTTGATTCCCCTAGAGGCACTGGCTCTTTGATCTTCTACTGGTGTAGCTCCTCTGATCTTTTATTCTGTAAAGTGTTTGTGTCTCTGTATGATGGATGTTTCACTGACCCAAGTAAATGGAAGAAAATTTTCTCCAGCCCTTAAATGTATTGCTTTCCTTGTTCTTTCAGAAAACACACTTTTCTTGGATAAGAACATTTTAAAGGCATCTGGTATCAAATCAACAGTATTGTGGCCTTTAATGGGATTTGAGGCATTGAGAAGTGGTTTGATTGGTAAGATTCCATTTTTGTTTCTTTCTCCTTGACCGTATCCCCTCACACAACAACAGAAACAACTTTCCCACTCCTCTACCTCCTGTTATTTTTTGAAACAGGAATTATCTCATTTCATTGAATTCATCGTTCTTCTTCAGTTTTTATTGTTACGTTCCCATTTTTCTGGTGAAAGAGAGGGAAAAACCCTCAAGTAAATTAAATTATAAAGGAAATAGTCAAGTTAAACAAGATGAACTGAGGTTTTGAAACTGAATCTAAGAATTGTCTTGATGTTGTAGATAGTCTGATAGTCTGTCTAATCCATGATTCAGAAACATATTAGTCATGTGATAGGCTGTTGATTTGACTAATTATGCTGAAGTCTGGCTGGCTGACTGCATTGCTCAGGTGAGCTAGTGATTTTGTTCAAATCAACGAGTAATTATGGTTTTTTGCAGGCAAAAAATATAGAATATTGATTCTGTTAAACTAAAATGTTATTGTGATATAATTATATAAAATATTTAATTCTAGCACAACAATCCTTTTACCTTTTTCTTTTTAAAAAAGATTGATTTTATTTATTTGGAATAGAGTGACAGAGAGGAGACAGGGAGAAAGAGAGAATTCCATTTGCTCATTCACTCCCCAAATGACTGCAGTCTCCCCAAATGACGGTCTTCCACAAGCATAGCAGAGGCCCAAGAACTTAGACCATCTCCTGCTATCTTCCCAGGCACATTAGCAGGGAGCTAGATTGGAAGTGGAGCATTTGGAATTGGAACCCATGCTCTAATATGGCATGCTAATATCATTAGCAAGTGGTAGCCTGACTACAATGCTTGGCTCCTATTTACCTTTTTCTTTTTTTTTTTTTTTTTTTTCTTTTTTTTTTTTTGACAGGCAGAGTGGATAGTGAGAGAGAGAGACAGAGAGAAAGGTCTTCCTTTGCCGTTGGTTCACCCTCCAATGGCCGCCGCGGCCGGCGCGCCGCGCTGATCCGATGGCAGGAGCCAGGAGCCAGGTGCTTTTCCTGGTCTCCCATGGGGTGCAGGGCCCAAGCACCTGGGCCATCCTCCACTGCACTCCCTGGCCACAGCAGAGGGCTGGCCTGGAAGAGGGGCAACCGGGACAGAATCCGGTGCCCCGACCGGGACTAGAACCCGGTGTGCCGGCGCCGCTAGGCGGAGGATTAGCCTATTGAGCCGCGGCGCCGGCCGTACCTTTTTCTAATTCTAAAGCTTAAATTCTCAGAACACATGGTAGAAAAGGTTGTGGAAACTTTTTTGGAGAGAAAAATTTTCTTCTCTCAATAAACAGTTTATAAACATCATCAGAAGAATATTTAGTGCTAAGGTAAAAACTCATATTTTAAATGCATTTAATTATAATGGTCATATTTTTGGAAGCCCTCAGAACTAAACATGGTCAGATTTAAAGTCAAAGTTCTTTTTACATTTTTCATAGAAAGAACCTGGAAATGAGCAATCTGTACATCAGAGCTCGATATTGCCACTAATATCACTTCTGGTTTATTAAATATTAAATAATAGTGTGATCAGATCTACCTGAAAGCCAAATGCTTAAACTTGTTTGGTTCCTATTCTGTCTTCATCCTTTCCCTTACCTTTGAAAAATCTTTCCACAGAGTATGGTGTTTATTATAGAATTTCTAACTGGCAATGTTTATATGCAGTATTTGTGGGTATAAATTTAAAGTATTTTAATAGCAGATATGTTTGTGTAATTGAAAAAAATCCACCTTCAATTTTACTTGAGTTGTCTCCTGGATGGTTTACCTGAATTAGAGTTCTTATGAAAGCAGGAATATGATTGATCTGGAACTTTGTGCAGACTTTAATATGTAATTAATGTTTGTGCAGTTCCTTCAGGGCAGTTATTCTGAAGAAAGTTCTAATGTTGTTTAGTCATTTCATTGTATATATCCTTGACCTTCCCCTTCTTCCCCCAAAACAAATCAGAGGTTGTGGGGGGGGGGGGAGGACAGTCATTTATAACGTTCAGATAATTTCGAGTTTATTCCTGAGGAATTGTAGAACACATCTGCTGTCTTCTTTCTTGGTCCCAGTTTCCACCTGCCTCTTATAATATGGGTATTTCACTGTGATGAAAGTAGTTCTTGCATTTGAAGACATGCATTGTTTTTATGTAGTCTGTCCCCAAATGCCTACTGCTTTATTAGATTCTCAGCTGTTTTTTCAGCTTAATAAGTATGTTGATTTTCAGTGAGCGCCTTACTAAGGGATGTTCAGTAGTAATTTTGGGTATTTTCATGTCTTGCCTAATGAACTAATGTTAGAATATAATCCCTAGATAAGTTGTAGTTCCTCTGTAATAGTATTGGGTCAGATGGTCAATTTTTGATGCTTCCTTAGGGTATAAAATGGAGGGGAATTATTAGGAGTATAGGTGTTAATATTATAGTTTGTAAAATTATTTTTTCATGAAAAAGGAAGTACCCAGGTTCCTCTTTTGCTTCCATTTAGTCTTCACAACTCCTTTGATTTTAGAAGTTAATTTAACTTTAAAGCAGGGTGTTTTGCTAGGGAAATAGGAACTCTTTTCTATTCTTGCTCATTGTTTTCTACCTGAAGCACCAACTCTAGAGAATTAGTGCCAAATGCAAAATTTTTCTGAAGGAAAACTTAATTTGGAACACTATCTTTGATTTTTTTTTCTTTCTTGTTTTTACTTTCTCTTTTTTTTTTTTTCCTCCTCTGTACGAAAGACACACATGTTAATTTAGTGGAGAATAGTTTTAATTAAAGAAGCTTAAATAGCCTGAAACTATGCAAGTCTGTGTTAGCCACTCTAGAGGCAAGTGTAGATGAATTGAAGCAGAATATGGGAGAATTGTGATCTAACGCTTGCTTCTGGATTAATGCCTTCCACCCCATGAGGGCAGCCGCTCTGCAGGTCTGCTTCGGGGAGTGGCAGTCATCCAGTCAATGAGCCATCCCTGCTGTGACAGAGGAATTGTTATTGCAAGTCATGTCAGTGCTTCCTTTTATTTCTTGGAAGAGTAGTGTGGTAACCTAAATTCTGGATCCCCAACCAGAAATTAGAACCTGTTACCCTTTGTTAATTGCAAATTCCACAGGGTGTTTCCATTGTAGGGTCTTTGAAAAGGCAGCAGTCAGTGATTAACATTTACCTCTGAGTGCAGAGCCGGACTTGAATGAGTGTGTGCGTGTGCTGCAGCATGTGTGTCTAGGTATAGTGGGAGAGAGAATGTACCCTTCCATAAGATACAACACTGCTCCATTCATGGGAACCAGCATTCAGCCCCTTGCCAGACAGTGTTTCAGATTTCCACAGAATAAGGCGGATGGCTCAATGAAAGCAGCAAAACTCTCAGATCTGTTTATGAGGGCATTATTTTTTTTATAGATTTATTTATTTTACTTGGAAGTCACATTTACACAGAGGGAGGAGAGGCAGAGAGAGAGAGAGATCTTCCATCCGCTGGTTCACTCCCCAGATGGTCACAATGGCTGGAGCTGTGCTGATCCGAAGCCAGGAGCCAGGAACTTCCTCCAGGTCTCCCACGTTGGTGGAGGGGCCCAAGGACTTGGGCCATCTTCCACTGCTTTCCTAGGCCACAGCAGAGAGCTGTATCAGAAGCGGAGCAGCCGGGTCTCTAACCGGCTCCCATATGCAGGCTGCGGCTTTACCCGCTATGCCACAGCACAGGCCCCAGAGCAAATCTTAATATGAAAGAACAGGTATTGTAGAAGTGGGAAAAAAATCTTGTAGCAAAAGCCAAGCAAAGAGTTTTGGTAAATGGTGGTGGAGCTGCTCAAATCCAGTAAATTGCAGTACAGGATGCTTTCTTTGGATTTGAGAAAAAATTTTTTAAAGAATTTATTTATTTATTTATTTGAGAGGTAGAGTTACAGACAGAGAGATCTTCCATCCACTGGTTTACTCCCCAAATGGCCGCAGTATCCAGGGCTGGACCCATCTGAAGCCGGGAGCTGGAATCTTCTAGGTCTCCCACGTGGTGCTGGAGCCTAAGTATTTGGGCCATCTCCATCTTCCACTGCTTTCCCAGGCCATAGCAGGGCTGGATTGGAAGAGGAGCAGCTGGGACACGAATTGTGCCCATGTAGGATGCCAGTACTGCAGGTGGCGGCTTAACCTACTGCACCACAGCGCTGGCCCTGATTTGAGGAATCTTCATAGTGACCTGCACTTACTTTGATTTTTTTTTTTTTTCCAAAAAAGAGAGGTCCTTGGAAAAAACTGTTGTGAACCTATGGGACATAGATGTCTTGGAGGAACTTCAGGGTTTCAGAGACTACCTTTGGAGAACCACCAACCTAGACTTACAAAACATTTGGCAGATTGTTGACTTGACAGATTTCTGGAGCTGTGAACCCTATAGACTGAAGATAAATTGCATACATTTAATTCAATGAATATTATTACACAATAATATTAAAATGATCTTAAAAATGTTCTTTAAAAGTAAGACTATCACTTCAGAATTCTTTACACTTTCTTGACATGTCATTTTCATCAATATTTATTTCATTGGAAGTTAACTACTTGTAGAACTACAGTTGTAGTTGGTTTTGCTTTGTGTGTTTTGTATTAAATATGTTTCAGGGCCGGCGCTGTGGCTCACTTGGTTGGTTAATCCTCTGCCTGCAGCACCGGCATCCCATATGGGCGCCGGGTTCTAGTCCCAGTTGCTCCTCTTCCAGTCCAGCTCTCTGCTGTGGCCCGGGAAGGCAGTGGAGGATGGCCCAAGTGCTTGGGCCTCTGCACCAGCATGGGAGACCAGGAAGAAGTACCTGGCTCCTGGCTTCAGATAGGCACAGCACTGACTTTAGTGGCCATTTGGGGAGTGAACCAACGGAAGGAAGACCTTTCTCTCTGTCTGTCTCTCTTAACTGTCTATAACTCTACCCATCAAATAAATTAAAAAAAACTACGTTTCAAGAAGTTTGAGGTCATTATTACTGAGTCAAATAGCATACTGTAATAAGCTA